TGCTGCAAATCGCTAACAAGAGACGGAAACAAAAGCAAAAGAAGGCACTCGCATCGCTGTCGTATACGTGACTGAAGTCGAGGACGTGTAGAGCGAGTGTGGAGGTGACGATCGACTACCCCGGTCCAGACGACAAAGGTTGGTGTTGGCGACGCGTCTAGCGCGACGCTCCTCGTGCGCGTAAAGTGCTAACCTCAAGTGCCCATCCACTGGACAACGGCCCCTCGAGCCAACACCGGCTCCATGCGTCTGAAACCCAGTACCACATGTTCAGTCACATCGCATGCAATGTGCGAATTGTACTGTAATTAGACAGTTGGTGAATCACTTCCTTCGTCTCAACGGGGATTTATAAGGAATCGTTCCCACATAGACTTGGAGACTTGCCGTCGTCGTGCAAGACTCTCTGGCTTGTGCGCATCATCTTAGATTCATCTGTTCCAACCCTCTATTCCTAGATAATCAATCAGATCATGCGCAAGTAGACAGACGCCTACGGATACTTGCCTGCTGCAGACGCGCCTTGTTCGTTCCTCGATGTGGACCCCGGCGGTTGATGCAGGTCCCATAATAGTGGGGCTCTCCGAGCTCAAGCTTCATCCCACCTACGTGACGTGAGAAGCACTGATCGTCTTCCACAACTTGACCGCCATGTTATCGCAAAGGACGGGTAGAGGTCAGTTCCCTGCTCCGGAATGCTTTCCTGAGATCATCATGGGCTGACGGGTACCAGCAAAGCTCGATGACGTTACCAGAATACTTTCCGAATTGAAGACCGACCTGGACGTGAAGAAGCTGTCTGTTGAACGTACGTCTTCTTCCGATAGAATTAATGCCATGCGCTCACTGCCTGGACAGAGAGACGGCAGCTACTCGAACAGCTCAAAGTCTACGGCCGTTCAGTCGACAACTCCGACCCCATATTCACGGAAGATGTACTACACCACACCACGAGTCTACGGACGGCATAGTGACCGTGATAGGGCCTCCGGACACTAGGGCACCACGCATTTGACGGAGAGACTACACCTGCGGCACAGGAAGCTCTCCGGTGCATAGCCAATGCTCTCCTTCTCCAGCCCAAGACGCGCCAGATACTCGTCAATCTAGGCCATGGTCCACATGCAGCGGAAAAGCTGAAAGTAGGCAACCGTGCCTTCGAACCTGGAAACAGAGCCTTGTTAACTTGCAAACAGGAAGAAAGTATCGACACTGAGTTCCTCGCCGCCCGTATCCTCTTCCTCACAACATACAACGCGAACCTCGATTACGCACAACTCGTCCGCGAGAACCAGCTAGCCGACAGCATCAATGCAGCCATCACACGGCATGCGAAACGATACTCCAAATCCGCGCCACGCAGAAACGAACAGCCCATGGAGGCCATGGCGCTCTCTGAAACACTCAAGCTACTCTTCAACATCATACATCATAAACAAGACCTTGCTCCCCTCTTTGCTCCCTCAATACCCAACGTCTTCAAGATCCTGGTACGGAGAGAAATACCATCACCGCCATTGTCCGGCCCAACGCGCGAACTAGTCAACATCCTCCTCCATCTAGACATCGAAAACGATCAAGGCCGAGAAGGCCTCTTCCCATCATTCGACGGCGAGGTCAACATCCGCTACTTGATCAAGATTCTCGACCAAGCACTCATCGTTTACCCACCCAAAGAACTCGATGAAACCGTCACACCCCTCCTTACCCTCATTCACCGTATCTACACGGTCGCTCCAGCGGAAATTGCCAGCACAATGGAGAAGTTACTCCTCCCCACAACCGAAGAGCGTGACCGCCCCCTCGGAAAGTCAGATACGCTGTCCTCTCGACTACTCAATCTATCCACGTCCGCTTTGACACCCTCACTGCGAAACGGAATATCGATGTTGCTATGGAAACTCTCGCATGAAGATCCCGCGACATTTGTGCATAACGTCGGCTACGGCTTCGCTTCTGGTTTCCTCATGTCAAACAACATACAAATGCCTGAGGAACTAGTCAAGGAGCATGCGCCAGAGAGTGGTGATGAGGGTATACCGATCAATCCTATCACGGGGCAGAGGCTGGATAAGGAGGAGCAGGTGCAGATGGAGCCCATGACGCAGGAAGAGAAAGAAAGGGAGGCGGAGAGGTTGTTTGTGCTGTTTGAGAGGTTGAAGGCGACAGGAGTCATGGATGTGGTTAATCCGGTCGAGGAGGCGTATCGGTCGGGGAGGATCCAAGAGCTGAGTGACGACGAGGATTGAGAGTTTGGACTGTGCGATTTGCGGTGAATTGGACATATGGGTCACGGCGTAAGATTTCTGCTTCGACCTAGTAAAGAAATATGAATTGACGATATTGAAGACTAAATATTGAGTCGCCTCGCTATATACCGGCGTGATCCTTAAAACACGCGCTTTTTGACGACTTGCTAAGTTGTGTCTAGACCTTTTGTTCCCAGATAAATACTGGACGTACAATAAAATATAAGAAGATGGTCGTCCAACGCTGTGGAAATACTGCTGGAGATTGCCGAAAAAGTGCAGGGTATGTTGCGAACCGAATGTGACTTGATGTTGGAAGGCGAGTCGATTGTTGAGATATTCGTTTCCATCAGCAGATGTCGATGGTAGCATACGTTGAAGGTAAGATTTTGTGCTAATAAAATGTGCTGAGAATGTCGTATGCTGATTGGCGTTCATGTCGAAGGGGCGGAACGATCTGGCAAAAGGATCCCTTGCATTACACATGGTTGGGTCGTGAGCCATGAGTTTCCCACTCTGTATGATGGTCGCAGCCGACGTGGTCTCCAAGACGTCGGCTGTCCTTGTCGCGTGGATACGCAGGGGGAATCTCGATACTAGGCAGAAATCTCATACCATCATCGTTGCTGTACTGATGTACCCATATCGGGCTGAGAAGCTGCTTCAGCAAGCCAGCTATGAGGTTTCCCAGATAAGCGTTGAGTTTGCACACTGGATACGCGGCAGCCCAGACTAGAAGAAAGATACCAGCACCCTTCTGCCAAGACGACATGCCGGCAACGGTCGCGGTAGTGCCTTGATCGTGAAGTTTGTTAATACCATAGGATATGTTTCCAAGCCAGTCGAGGATGCCGCATGTATGTAGGAGAAAAGCTGAACTGCATGCGCCGGCAGTGTAACCGGCAAGCCTAGTGTTAAACTTGTACAGGACGGTAAACATGAAGAACGTGCCGATGGTGGCCAGGAAGCTTCGAAAAAGCCATATGACAAGTGCTGGTATTGCGCTCAGAAAGGCGAAGCCCTCGGCGATGTGCTCGGTTTGTGTCTCAAAGATGTCCAGACGTTGAGCGATGCTGTCCACCTTGGAAAGAGAGCGATCTGCGACATCGTTGGTTTGTTGGATGGTGTGTTGTGTGGCGGTCATATAACCCGCTAGCACATTGTAGCTTTCGACCTGCGCCTGGTGATTTGATTGAATGCTGAGCTTGGCCAGTTCGTGATGTTGTTGGAGCTCGTCAGTGAAGTATGCAGCGAGCTGGGAGCTCTCCAGCATCAAGTGTTGCGAGAAAGCCTGCATTCTCTCACGTATGTGGTCGATTTCGTTGGTCTGACTCTCAGACAGAGCAGTGATGAGGTCTGAGATCGACGACTCCATGAAACTGTGAAACTTTGCGTCAAGCGCTCCAACTGTGGCGACAGCCTTTTCCTGCACAGCCTGAATGTCTTCTTTGAGCTGCTGGTGAGAGTCGCGGGCTTCTTCGGAGTACTGCCTTTGCTCACGGATCAACAACTCGTATTCCTCAGTCGTCCTCTGCATAGTCGATGTCACATCACCCAGAACTTGGGTCAGATTCTTGAAGATCTCAAGATGGTTTTCTCGCTCGATAACATCTCTGCTGGCCTGGCACATGACGACTGCATTCTGGCGAGCATTGCTGAACGAAGTCCAGTATTGAGGTGTGGATTGAAGGCTCTTTAGGCACTGCATGTAGTAGTACTCCTTGAATTCTGGGTAGCATTGCTTGTCGCTGGGAACTTCTGGCCGAGCATGCCACCAGCCACCGCCTTTCCCGCAGTGCCTTGACGCAGGAACCAGTATATCGCAATTAGGCGGTGGTGTTGGATTGACTGGCTGAACACTCAATAGCTCGCAAACAGCTAATTTGGCGGCATACTCGGTCTTGACATTATCCAGGTACGCATCTGGGCGAGATTTGGCGAAGTCCGGTGCATGTTCCAGGAGCTTGCATTCGTTCATCAGATGAGAAGCAGCCATCCGAGTGCACGTCGGGGCTGTCTGCATAGACACGACAAATTCGACCGCTTGTGTTATCACCCTGTGGTTCCTCGATGTTGTGTACTGAAAAAGTGAATCAACATTGGCTGTTGGAGCTGCACCTGCTGGTGGGGAGTGATACTGAGAGAATGCCGTAGGAAGGAGCAGCCCAGCTGTGATGAGCGTCGCCATGGTCAGTACATTTCGAGGGTTCATATAAGCAGCTTGCGTGTGGAGTTAGGGTTATCGAAACCACAGGAAAAGTTGCAAGCGAAGTAAAGCAAAAGTCAGGAAACAGAGGACAGTGGAGGAAGACGAGGAAGCGAAGGATCAAGCACGGTAAGATTGTTATTTGGATCAGCCATGTAAGTTTGTCGCATAGTGAGAGAAGGAGGAAGGTGCAGTGTTTGAGCTTCCGAAGCATGCTGGCCTGCTGCGATAGCCAGGTGAGGTCGAGATTGTGGTAAGAAGACGCGCTGTTAGTCGAATAGCAAAAGATTTAAATCTAGGTGAGAGACCACCTGGTCAGCAGTTTCAAACACCAGCTTCAAGCACTTTATCGCACAACATCCTCCGCCAAAAAGAGTGATGACGGTCGGAGTGTTGTGGTGTTGAGGGGTGTTTGGTGGGGGAAAGTGCGATATGCCGACCAATCAGAGACGGCAATGACGCGCTATCACGGGATCGGATGAGCTAGCCTCGAGCTGGGGATTGCCGAAAACTCTCGCGATCGTATCTGTCGACATCAAGACAAAATGTTCGCCCCAGCACGACGGCGGTGCGCCCAAAGCCTCGCAAAGGCCTCGAGCCAGACGACCGATTCGATCCCGACTTTCCTGTTACCCGTATTCCCCCGGCCTACGCCCGCCAGGACCTTTACCTCAACAACATCATGTCAATCGAAGATCGGGTCCCTACCACTCTCTTTACCCCAAGGAGTCACATTCCAGGTGGTTGCGCCTTCGGCTAAGGCCAGGAGCTCAAGAGTGCAGGCAATGTCTACAGTACACATCAAGGGACCGCTCGGCGAGCTTTCAATGAACATTCCTCCATATATCAATATCAACCAGGACCCGGCATTGGGTGGTCCAACATTGACAATAGAGGATGCAAAAGATGCGAAACAGAAGGCAATGTGGGGTGCGCGTGCTGGCTTCGTAACGTGCTGCGCATTTGGCTAACTTGGATTCAGGCACCACCCGCGCATACCTCCAGAATCACATCCTCGGTGTTAGCGAAGGACACAGTGCCATTCTCCGCTTCGTCGGTGTCGGTTACCGTGCCTCAGTCGAAGACACTGCAACTACAGTAAAGGCCGAATTTCCGGGCCAGAAGTTCGTCAACTTGAAGGTCGGATATACACACCCAGTCGAACTCGCTATACCAAAGGGCATGACCGCGAGTACACCGCAACCGACACGTCTACTATTAGAGGGGCCAGAGAAGGAGGTAGTCATGCAGTTCGCGGCCAAGATCAGGGCCTGGAGGAAACCTGAACCATACAAGGGCAAGGGTGTCTTCGTCAACGGTGAGACCATCAAGATCAAGAACAAGAGAGTGGGCGGCAAATAGAAAGGATGATGAAATTCTGGATGTGTACCATATTTGTTCGCTTTACATCATGAATCATTGGAACCGTCTCACCATGCGTGGTTGGGTTCAAAGACGGAGTATATACCACGGTACCGAAGTACACCTCGGTTCAGGCATCCGTTCTTCGACCTTTGTTTCTGCGATTTCGTCTTGTTCCAGCGGCTCAATTCTGGTTACACTGCTGCCTAATGGAACCTGGCGACTGGCTGGCTCTCTACGTGGAAAACGGACATGAGTGATTTTCGTATATATACTGACCTTGATCCTTGATCTTAAGCATCTGTATTCACACAGTCGCCAATTCCACACCATGTCTACTTCCCAGCCCCCGAAATGCTATCTTCTACGCATTCCTCGTGAACTGCGCGATGCAATCTACGCCTACTATCTCAGTGACGAAGGATACTATCACCAACCCGAGTCGAATACCTTACGACATGCTGACGGATCAGCCATCAATCTCGCACTAACACTGAGTTGCAAGCAGGTCGCAGCGGAGATGATAGCATTGCCCTTGAAACTGAATGCTGTGGAATTCAGAACGCACCTGGCACCTATCGAGACAGCTGGTATCGGAGAGCGGAAATGGCTATTCAACGACCCTCCACCTGGGGATCGTCTGTCTCTAGATTATGCGCCCCCTTCAAGGGCTGAGCATTCTCACTTTCTGCTGAGACGTCTATACGACATAGAGGCAGACGCTTGCGTAATCGCTTTCGACGCATATGGTAGGACAAAGCTTATATACACAACTTCGTTGGTGCTCTTCAGTCGAAGCACATGCTGACTACGTGCGGCAGGTACCGAGGAACTCGCAAAATGCATTTCTGAACGATTCCCCCAAAGCTGCCTCGGCAGGCAGCTTCAAAAGCTATCACAAGTTATGGACATAGACGCTTATGCCCTTGACTTGAGGGCACGACTTCAAAATTCGACATTCTATCAACGCCAAGCTTTGCAGTTTCTCCTTGGAAACATATCGGCTTTTGCAACTCAAGCTAACATGGTCAACGAGTCCAATCACAGGAGTAGGAATAGAATCAAGCTCTCGCTAGGACTTTTGAGCCGCGATGCTTCTGAGATCGTGGCTTCGCGAATCTCATCCGTGGAGTGGCCACCTTGGGTATTGCCTACGGCGTTGCATATACCAAAGTTGCGCAAAATCGTCAACTCTGTAGATAAGAGTGACCTGGGGCACGGGTACTACAGAAATTCGCACAAGCTTAGGTACTATGAATCAGCTACCTCGCAATGTATCCGCTTTCTCGGCATGTTGGAACAGGACGTGAGTCTCCGCTTGCGGCATCTGATCATACGCGAAGACCGCAAATCTTGCACAAAACCAAGTTGCCATGCGTATGGTCTCGTTCCATATCTCAAAAGTCTGCCTCATCTGCGCGTCGACCATCACGTTGACATGTGGCATACCATGTAAGTTATGCTTCCTTTCGAAGAATGGACACCGTTTAATGAGGTATAAACAAGCTTTTCCACAGAATACAGTCGATTGGCTGGTAATCCTACCCTCAACTTGCAATTACGGTCAGATTGGTGGTCTACTCCTTCGCCACACGAGGCGGTTGATAAGACCGCTGCCTGGATCAAGGAAGCGATGTATTTACGACACGCCGGTATGCCTCCTTTTACCTACCGTCTTCATCTCGAGGCACCTGTGGAGACTGTTGAGGAGATCTGGGGTACCATGAAGTTTTGCGCAGCCCTTTGCCACTTGATCTCACACTCTCCTCAACTTAAACGATCTCGGTCCTTCCATTTTGACGATGTCTTTGTGTCTTGTGTACGGCTCATGCTATCTAGGGATCCCACCGTGCACTTGCCATGTCCTATAGGCACTCTGGAAGAATTTGAAGAAGAGATTGGTTGTACAAGCGAGGATTCGAAGAGTTTGCCACGAAACGATTGGTGGAAATTTGGCTGGGATCTCCTTCATAAGAGTCCGGACACTTCGATGGTCGATGTCAATGCTATCCATGAGTTGTATATAGACAGCCCGGCATGAAGTGAGCATGATCAATGCGGACGAGAGACTTGAGAGGGATTGGACTGGTGGGCTGTAAACTCAATACGATTGATTACTTTGGTACCTCATCAATACGAAAAGTACCTTGCATCAGGAACCGCAGCGCGATCCAACTTAAAATACCCAGGTTGCAGCTTCTGGAAAACCTGCGTCGGATCATACTTCTTCGCGACAGTCTTCAACTTACTCTTACTAGCCGATCCATAGCTTGCAATAACATCTTGGAACATCGCTGCATAGTTCATGTACACCCAATCATTCTGCACACCCAACTTTACCGCATCGCTCTTGATAGCCTTCATGATATCGGACATGACCTTGTATACGGTTTCATCATCCGCAGCATTGTTCCACGAGCATGCTAGCTGGATAATATGAATAGGGCTACCGTTGGCATTAAATCCCAATGCGTTGCCACCGTTACGGGTACTGCCTTTGAGCGAACCATCCGTGATGTGCTGCCAGATAAGCACGGGGAATGCGCCTTCCACTGCTGACAGAGCGTCGATTGAATCGAAGAAGATGTCCACGGAGCGCTGAGCGATCTCGTACGAGGCTTTGACTGTAATGTCGTAGAAGATCTCACGCTGTCCATATGTATTGCTGGCTTCGTTGTCCACTACGTAAGAGGCATGGCCGCGAGTCTTTGTGCTGTCTGATATGGCAGTGATGTTGTAGAAAGGCGCCAGAATGGCAGACTCATTACCAGCTGGTGCGCCATACCAGAGCTCGGTCGAAGCAACCTTTGCGCCGGCATTTATCCAGGCGATCCAGCTGCCAGCCTTGGGGTCTTGGGCTGAGTCAAGTGTGAGGTCGATCCATGCTTTGACAACATCTGGGAAGACGTCCTCGGTGAAAGTGCGGGTTCCGCCCCAGATTTGGTCGTTTTTGAGTGGTTTCGTCCACAGGTTGAAGTTGGTCACTATGCCGAGATTGTTTCCTCCACCGCGGAGAGACCAGTACAGGTCTGGGAAGGTCTTAGGGCTTGCTGTGACTATAATGCCACTTGCAGTGACGATCTGATGAAGGTTAGAAGAAGACTTGTGAGGTATATGCAATTGCTTACATCGAAACTGGCAACGTTATCACATGCCAGACCATACTCGTTAGTGATGAACGAGATGCCTCCACCAAGGGTAAGACCACCAACACCGAGATCACCGATTCGACCAGCCACGACTGTGACACCAGTGGTCGACAATGCAGTCAGCACGTTACCCCAATTGTTTCCTGGCTGTACCGCGACAGTCTTCTTGTCTCCGGAAAGTTTGATGCCCTTCATGTTCTCGAATGATACGGTGATACCACCTTCAATGGTAGCTGCGCCAGCAAACGCACTATGACCGCCAGACTTGACGGCAAACGGACATTGTGAAAGCCGAGATAGAAGTACCATCACAGAAACCTCAGCAGGGCTTGAGGGTTTGAAGATACAGTATGGCCTCACATCGGCCGAGATCCCAGACCAGAACCCGGATGTGAATGCAGTGTAGCCAGCCTCATTTTGAAACTCGACAGACTTGTTGCCGTAAAGAACTTCGAGTGAAGAACACTACGTTTATTTCAGCTCTATCTCTGGTCAGACTCAAGAACACTTACGGCGATGTTGCAAGCCAAATCCGAAGACCGCTCCACAAGACCAGCTAGCTCTGGCAATGCTGAGATATTGACACCTTGATCAATTAGAGCCTCAGTGACGTTAAAGTCGGGAGCTTCGAACGTTTGAGAAGCGACGAGCGTAGCCAACGCCGCAAGCAAAAATGACCGCATATTGACTTGGGTTGGTATCGACAAGGTGGTGGGGAACCATTGCTATACGAGTGCAAGATCTGATTTTATATGTGCATAGCGCTCTGACACTCTTTCCTCAAGGATCAGAGACCCTTCTGGAAGGAGTCTAAGGCATCAAATGTGCGCAAGCGAATTTGTCGCTGCTGCTTGCCACCAAAGGGGTGCGGCTCGATGGCAGCCTCGCTCTTGTCCTCGCCTTCTGCATGCCCACCCGTGCCTTCTGACTAGCGGCACTAAACTAGTCAGCGGGCCGTGGGGAAGACGCGTCGTTCAACCGGTGCCAGGCACTTCGTGTCTCCCAAAATGCGTGAAGAGACGGCGAAGACAAAGTCTTTTGGTATCGCTCTCATATGTTCGATGAGGAGCGACTCGAGCACACTTTTCTCATCGGTAATCGGGGACTTTACGCATGAGCAAAAAGCAGGTGTCACTTCCAGACACGACTGCGCCGCAGTGCTGCAGTTCGGGGGAGGATATTACCTCGATCCTTCAGCAGGGATAGGTCCGTGATTGGCTCAGGCAAGTTTAGCGCTTCCCAAGATCCCGTCCGCCTCTTTTCATGCCGGTCGTTCCATCCCCAAAACACTTCACGACAGCACATGTGCTTCCTGCCGCTCGGCAATTCGGAGTCAGAATCAAGCAGGTAGGCCCATTTGCGGGTCGGTTAGATAAGCCTGCAGTCCCTATGCTGATCCTTCGGCTTATGTCCGCGAACCGTAACATCGGAAGGACTCAACTTTGGTCATCGTCTCGAAGACATCCCTTGGTGAAATCTCGTTTATGCATGATGCCGCTTTCAGTCAAATTCTAGACTTACAGCTATGAAGACGGCTCGCGTCTGAACCGGGCTGACGGTAGACTTGTCGAAAAGACTTGTCGCCACTTCGTCCCACTCCGCAAGAGATTTGTACATGGCTGAGCCGATTGTATGGACAATCAACTCTCATCTCTGTAAGGAAATTCACTTGGAATTCGTCAGTCTTCGCTCTGAGGGAATCGTGAACATCTTAACATACGGAGTACGCAACGATATTTTCTGCTTACAAGGGTTTGTACTCAATATCGACGTCCATGTTCTGCTTTGCCTCACAGGTGCATTACTTGTAGGATCCTTCAGCCGATGGATGAAACATGAAGAACAGGGAAAGAAGGCCAGGGTGTGGGGGTACACATCACGTCGCGGTAAGTTCCAGAAGGTCGACGTGCGGACATGATCGTCTCTGTTATCGTTAAAGACTTAGCACTCTTGCTCCCTGTGCACAGAATTTCCATTCTCCAAGTATAATTTTGCAGCCTTTTAGTATGTCTTCGAACGGCCTCACCGAAACTACCCTTCATGGTACCGCGATCGGACTCATGGTCGTGACGACTGCCATGGTTTTTGCGCGAGCTATACTACGAAGCGATCAGAAGAAATCCATCCAATGGGACGAGATCTGGTTGATTGTAGGATATATGCTCTTCATGGCTATCACCGGCGTCTACATCAATAAGACTAGTCTTTTATTTCGACTCCTAGCGGTCGAAGAAGGTCGCCTCGCCCCATACCCGAGTGTCAGCAAAGATGGATTCAATGCGCAGAAGACGTTCTTCTTTACTAGTCCAGGGTTATGGCTCACTTTGTGGAGCATCAAGTTTTCTCTACTGGCATTCTACAAGAGAATTATGGTGGGCGTAAAGCTGTACCTGACGCTGTGGTGGGTTGTACTTGCATACTGTGTGCTTGTGAGTTCCCTAGATCCAATGCATGTTCCCGTAAATAACCTTCACTTACATCTCAATAGACACTGGTTCTATCCATTATGTTACACATTACTGCCTGTGGATCTTCACCGTCATCGTGGTTCATAGAGAACGGATGTGGAGCCGACAACGTTCGAAAGAGCCTGATAAGCTTCTGGGAAGGATTTGCTGTGGACCTGTCGACAGATCTCATGAGTAGGTGCCCTCAATACCTTGCAGTGGGACGATATCCTGACGCATCCAACAGTAATGCTACTTCCAATCGGTATCATACGCAACCTTCAGATACCTCTAGCGCGCAAAATTCAGATCGGCGGCCTTTTTGCACTCGGCATCTTTGTCATCATCGCGAGCATTGTTCGAGTGATACAAGTTGGCGCAACGACTGGGGCAAGTAATACAACACCTTCATTGACATGGCTTGCTCTATGGAGTATCATTGAGTCATCTGTCGCTATCATGGTTGGCTGCGGTCCGGGTCTATACCGTAAAGCCAAGGCTGTCTACAGTAACACTCCAGTACATGCATACAACAGTCGCGGCTACATCAAGACTACAGCGGACAGGAGGCCAGAAACGAAAGGGAATGCAGATGACGAGTATGGCTTTCCGATGAAGATAATGAGCATCGATATCGCAGCTCGGGTCAGTAGAGGCGATAGTGAGGAGGAATTAGTTGGTCAAGAGATAAACGGTAAGATCCGAGTCACGAGGTCGGTTGTTATAAGTCACAAAAGCGAATAATATCGGAAGGGCTCAATTTTACTAGCTGGCTTGTCGCGCGGAGCCTCTTTACAGAGAATTCAATGCTATTGGACGTATCATTGGAAGAGGATCGTGATCATAGATTTCATGATTCGTCGCTACGTTGAACGTGACAAAGATACTGGAAATATACCCGAAATATCCCGTAAAGCTCTCTGAGAATGGTTGTTGTGAGTAAGGTTGCAAAGGAGAGGACATCCACATCTCGCGCGATCATCTTGCCCACCAACCACTGCGCAATTCGGTTCCAGATCATCAACAAAAACCTGAGCTAGGCGTTCTTGCTATGTTAATCATCATCATCGTCCAGCAGATGACCTCTGAGATCGCTGTAGACCACGACAGGTATGCCTTTGGCCCACCAGATGTCCAAGCTGCCGTACCGCTCGAAGCACTCCTCGTTATAGAGCTGCAATACCCATCGATCCTCCTGGCTCAACTCATCCCATGGTTTCAAGTCTTCTGTCAGCGAAAGTCGGTTTATCTCCTGCTCGACCGTATCGCTGTCTTCGATATCATTGATAGGCTCGTCGAGAAGATCTCGGTAGAGTTGGACGAGGTCGGGTGTTTTAACGGGTTCGCTCCAGTTGGTAGTAACACAGGGGAACTTTGCACGTTCTCGATGCTTCATCATCTCGGCCTTGGCGATGAACGGAAGGGTGTGGATAGAGACATCGGTTCCAATTCCAGAACCGAGCGCTTGTATCATCCTCGGCAAATCATTGTCAAAGACGGTCACAAACTTCTGCTGCTTGAGAAAGGGCACCTGATTTGAGTATCGCTCGGATGCCTTTGTATAGTAAGCAGCCTCGATGCTCAGGTAATCTCTGACCTTGATGGCAGCGGGCTCGTTCGCGTTCGAGGCAAAAGCGATGGTTACGAAGGGATTCTTCACACCAAGACCACCGTAGGCTTGTGGGAGATAGATGATTGGCTCAAGATCTTGCAGACTATGCTCCAGCTCGCATGATACAAAAGGTCTGAGCATATTTGCAACCCATCTGGTTAACTCGCTGCCACCAAGAACGATAGAGTAAATACGCCTGTACGTTGCTTTGATCATTCCGGTGTGTTGTTTGTTGAACACATTGGCAAGGGGGCCGAGCAAATGGGCTGCATAAGTACCGACAGTATCATTCCATTCATGAACCCACTCGAGTACGGTTGAACACGACTTGAGCCTCTGACTTGTGTTGGCTGCATAGAGGGCGACTTTGGAATCGTCGATTCCGACTTCGATGCCGTATGTTGAGTTTACCTGAAGGTCTATATCCAAGAATCCGATGGACAGCTTGTCAGTGGAGAAGAGACTGCGGAATTTTAATCCCATAACGTTGGAAAAATCAACAATTACTTCCTCAGCATGGCCAATTTGTACTTGCGGGCCAACAAAGTAGCAGTGGTCATGTACACGGTACATGTACGATCCTGTTGCCTTGCGTATGGCAAGATCGAGGAAGAAGAGTACGGCCTCGCTGAAGAAAATCTCCATGGAGTAGCCAAAGGAAACTCCACTTTCAGGCGTCATAGTTCGAGCCGCTTTCTGAGTAGAAGACTCAATGCTCAGCTTGGGCCTGAGAGCGCGGTTGAAGAGGCTGAGAAAGACGTCCGGAACACCAAGAAATCTCAACACCGTGATGATGGTACAGTGCTGCAATGTAGAGGCCAACGGATCGAAGTCCAGGGTTAAAGCGTTGACTTCGCCATCGAAAGCCCTGCGTATCTTGCATTCCACAGCCAAGGTTTTGATCAATCTTGCCTGGATGTCTTTCGACGAAGTCATCTTAGGTACGTCGCCATCATGTTTGGGCAGACGTGACATGAAGAAGTGCCGTTGGTAGTCATCTCGTCGTACACTTTCAACGTCCGTGAGCATGTCCGGTGGCGGCGGAGGATACATATGGATCACATGGCGCGCTGGGGGTACAATTGGGGTGAGACGCATGGTTCGAGGCTTCGTCTTACTCCTTCTGCATCCCTTTTTGGATTCGGGTGGTGGTGGAGGAGGACAAGGAGGACCCGTGTATCCACAAGGCGGTGGAGGCATAAATGAAGTATTGTCGAAAAAGAAAGCCCTCTTGTCGGCGTCTGCCCTTGCAAGTGGGGCGACTTCGAACGCTTTGGACTTATCAAAGTAGTCCCTGAGACATTCATTCAACTTCGTCGCCCATCTGATTGCACAGCAATGGAGGAACAGCATGTCGATAACTTCAACCTCAACGTTGACGTAGTGCTTTCCACGGATTGTCTTGCGTGTATCGACTGGTAAACCCACTTCTGCGTTCTTGTAGTTCCATTCGCGATAGCCCCTCGTGTTCAGCATTGCAGTTACCTCCAGTAACGCGTCTGGCGACTGCAGATAATTGATCAGGGTCTCTCTTCGCTCCTGGCTGATAGACTCTGATCGAATCAGGTCCGTGATGATCCATTTCAGAGTTTCTTGATCGACTTCAATGTTTCCGTTGCTAAGATCACTTCCGTATGCTCGCATTCCGTTGCGAATAGCTTGCAAATGGTCTTCTTCACCCGCGAATAAGCCCGAAAGATATTCATCAATCGAGGAGCTATCCACAGTTGTCTGCTGCGAACATGTCCTCACAAATTCTTCCAGAGCATCTTCACGGTCGTCATCAACAAACTCGAAATCATCTTCCACGGCCATGTCTTCAAGAAGTCTGGTAGCTGTCGTGTCGGTGTACACGTCTATAGCCTCTTTCATGAGTCGCGAATGTAGGCACGATACTTCCATGCGATTGCGGAACCTGCTCAGCTTATCGAGGAGAGCTTTTTCAAGCTTCAGCAGCTTGTTCTCGGTAACGATTTCGCCATCACGGGCTTGTTCAATACATCGCTTGGTGGTTTCTGATGTCCAGATGCCATCCTCCTTGTCGAACTTTGGATCAAGGTTCTCGATATCGTCCAAAAGCCTTTCCATTCGTCTGATAACACTGGGCTCTTCAGACTGCTTCGCATCTAGGAGATATCGCTGTTCGAAGGACTGTTTGGTATGTTCCAGCTCCTGCAGGCGGAGCTCGACCGCCTGTCGAGTGATCGGCGTGATTGCAAACGATGGCATGTTGTCTTAAATAGATGCCAAAATTGAGTGAGTAGCTGATACTCGAAGCTGGCTGAGAAAGCTGCTGTTTATCACTTAAGTTTGCTCACTTTGTGTCGCCAAGTCCGACCCAAGCACATAAGTCGCTGCATAGTGAGGTAGTCATCAGGCATCACGCATTTGGAGGCGAATGAGACACAGATTTGAAGGTACACAAAGATTAGTGTGCATGTTGTGGCAGGTCAACAGAAGAGGCCGTCCAGTGGCCATTTGCGACCCGTCCACGCAGGGTTAGCTCCAGAGCTTTCCCCGCACTCTCATCGGTCGCGACCATAGCATGCCAATCATACTTAACATGAAGACACACCTGGGAGCGTGACTTCGCTACTTGATTCTGTGAACACGCGCATCTTTGGTTGCTTTTGCTCAACACATCGTCATTGCAGTCACATGATGCTAAGGATGACGGATACCGGGTATATGTGGGTCTCATCCCACCTTAGTTTAGCTATGTAGGCCTAATACATGCGATTATTCTCCATCCACACTGTACATTTGCCTACAATACTATTTCATTTTGACACTGCCCTTCGGCCTACTGAGTAGCATATGTGGTGCAGACCCTTGCAACTTCTAGGCAGCAAAGCTTTACTACCACGAAGGAGCAGAGATTTCCAGATATAATCGCCACACTTATGTTGTGCTCTATTTGTCAAAATGCGCTCCAAATATTTTGGGAAACAACAGAGGGCGAGATTCCTCACCACCCTTCACTTACCAGCCTCGCTCAAGCTATTGAAAAAGGCTGTTTCCTATGTTGCTGTTTAGAAGACCGCTTGGAGTACCACGACATTGACATGAAACAGCCTGATCTTGACCGCTGTACACGATGGCACGTGTATGAAAACGATCCGAATTGGAGTGTGAACGATGTTCGCTGCTTCGATGTATGTTCTGGGACAAGGACCATCCCGATCATGCAGAAGTCCAACTGCAATGCTTCTCTCTAAGATCTAATTTCATCCGCGCTGACCCTGCCAGCTCGTCTGAAAAGAATATGGATAGCTCTCTGTCAATCTTCTCAGACTTTACGGACTCAGAACATACGATATCGCAGATCAAGAAATGGCTTGAGATATGCACATTAACGCATGATTCATGCATCCACCAGCGCAAGAACCTATGGACGCCATCGCGTTTACTCCAACTCTGTGACCTGGACAAAGAACCCAAAGTTCGCTTACGGAGCAGTTTGGAATTGGAGAGCGAACGTTACCTCACTCTCAGTCATTGTTGGGGCGCTAAGGGCAGCCAAAAACTGCAGCTCACCAAGGAAACCATCGAAGATTTTCATCGAGGTATTACTATCTCAACCCTGCAAAAAACATTCCAGGATATGGCGAATACCACTGCTCGTCTTGGATTCCAATACTTTTGAGTAGACTGTATGTGTATACTGAAGGACGATCCCGAAGACTGGAGACGCGAGTCTAGTTCAATGGGAACAGTGTACGCAAACAGCTGGCTCAATATATCTGCCACGTGGGCAGCGGACAGCAGCTATGGTTGCTTCACTCACCGCGATCTTTCGCGAGACTATCTCTACGTGGAAGAACCCTTGAATGGGTCGGAGAGGAAGAAGACTTGGATATTGACGTTGACATATGACTGGTCGGGTCAAGTAGAGCAAGCGCCAGTGAACGAAAGGGGTTGGGTCTTACAAGAGCGCATCCTTTCTCCCCGCATTGCGCGCTTCACAGGAACTCAGGTCGCTTGGGAATGTCAGCAGCTGCAGGCCACAGAGACATATCCTGATGGGATTATACTTCAGCAGGCCTTGTACAAATAATACCGGTATAATCTAGCCATCGACAATTCTATCAAGCACGACGGCCATGAAGATACCGAGTACTATTGGAGTCGTATACTGTACAAGTACACATCGTGTCAGTTGACTTTCAGTACTGATAGGTTGATCGCCTTATCTGGGATCGCGCGAAAAAATCAATGAAAGTAGATCGTGCGATTATATGGCGGGCCTATGGAGCAAAGACCTGCCTCATTGTCTCCTGTGGACGCTTTGGGACCCAAGTCCTCAATAGGAGACCTATATCGCACCTTCTTGGAGCTGGGCATCTAGATCGGGAGAAGTTATCAGTTCCGGATTTGCAGATCGAGACAACTCGACTGCGTACATGACAGCGCTGGACTATGCCAAAACACTCCGCAACCCAGAGGATCCGTATGGTCAGATAACAGACGCATTCATCAAAGTGCGAGCGAGATTGAGAATTGCGAGGTGGAGTGGAATGCAATATTTAGAGAAGCAAGGCGAAGATGTTTTCATTACGCTATCGGTGCCTGATGCACATTGCAGAACGGGGACTTCTACGTCAGCACGAAGATTCTCGAAGAGTGCAATCGTTCTTGATCATGATAGAGACTCTGATTTAGAGGAAGCATATTTTGCAAGTATAAGCGCAAACCTTAAGTTTCCGGTAGAAGAAGTGAATGAGAGTAGAAGTAGCAAAACCACAACGACATCTCAACGCGACAGTTATCTCGGGGAGCTACTGCTCCGGCGTCTTCCGTGCTCGCGGTTCGAACGTATAGGACTTCTGAGGTTGGACTTGCATCACAATGATGACCCTTGTGTTGACCTACCGGAACGAGAAATCACCATCATCTAGAGGAAGATAGCCAAGTATTATCGGAGCGAATCATTCATGAACATGTGCTTCATCAACAATATTCTAAACTCCTAATCATGACCGTGATTCATCGCCATTCAAAAACGCCAGCAGACCTTCATCAACGTCGTCCATAAGCACCCGCCTCCGCCCTCCTCTCCGTCCTCTTGAAGCCCAGACTTCCCGCCTTCCTACTCTTCCTAACAACCTCCTCCCCTCTATCTTCATCATCGTCCCCATCCAACACCTTCCTCCTGCCATACATTTCCATGTCCTTGGCATCATCATCATGCTTGCGATCATACTCGCTCTCCCGACTAAACAACGCCATCATATCCTTCATCGTCAAGTTTTTGATGGCCTTTCCACCTTCGATGGCCGCATTAGCGAGTTTACGCTTGGCCTCTTGTAATTCGAGAATGCGCTCTTCGACGGAGTTGTGGATGGAGAGGCGGTAGACTGTTACGTCGACGGTCTGGTTGAGACGGTGGACACGGTCGATGGCTTGTTCTTCTACGAACTGTCGATGTGCGTTAGTAAGTCGTTTTCTCGAGAGGGGAGGATAGGGTAGTACTTACGGGATTCCAGAATGGCTCCATGATGACAACGCGACTTGCGGCTGTGAGGTTGAGACCGAGACTACCACATTTCAAACTACAAAGCAGAACGCGTGTGCGCTTATCTTCACGTAACTTCTGGAGACTTGCTTCGCGGAGATCGTTACGCATGCTGCCGTCGTAGCGGGTGAAGTTATAACCTGCGCGTTGCAAGAAGGGTTCAATGAGGTCAAGCATGGAGGTGAATTGCGAGAAGACGATGACCTTATGTTCATCAGTCTCCTTTTCGAGGATGGCGAGCAGTTGCCGGATCTTCGTCGATGGTACTAGGTCCGAGGCGTTGTAGGAAGCTTCTGAGGTCTCGGATTCTGAGGCAGAGGCTTCTGAATCGGACTCAGAGTCTGAGGCGTCTGAATCACTGCCGCTTTCGCTGTTGGCTTCCTCACTGTCTGCCTCTTCATCTTCTTCATCAGAGTCAAGGTTGATGACCTTTTGTGGCTTCTTGAGTAGCTTCTTACGAGCAACAGGCGCTTCGTCTTCGCTATCAGTGTCATGAACGACGAAAGAATCCAGATTGCTCCTGCTCTCATCCTCGTCCGCAGATGTATCTGAGTCGACAGTAGCAAGCGTATCGCCGCCTCCTTCAGCATTCTCATCGTCGGTGCCACCAGCCTTGCCCAAATCTTCAGCATGTTGCTGGTCCTCAGGAACGAGCCATTCGCCCTCCTCTTCTTCGTCGTCACTATCGACAACGACGCGGCGATTGCGAGAATGCTTCGAGGCGGCTGGTTTTTGCTCCTCTTCTTCGTCATCGGAATCTATGACTGGTTTCGCTTGCCGGTGCTTTTTAGACTTGCCATCCTTGTGCTTATGTTTGCGGTCTTTCTTCGACTTGTGCCTAGTATGCATTAGTATATGGTATTATCGAGACTCTGCTGGATGCTGGCTTACTTCTTAGACTTCTTAGTAGACCCTAGAAGATCTTCTTCGCACTCCGTACAACGCGCTCCACCAGCAGCTGTATTATCACTATTGAGGTGGTTCTGACATATGTCACAGCGCTTTGCCGCAACGCTGAGTCCACCTAGAAGATCTGCTAGGTCGTCGGCATCGTCTTTGGCTGCGGCCTTCCTAGGAGTCTGGAGGCCAGCTGCAGCGTTCGAATTTGAACCGGTAGTTAAAGCGTCCTTGTCACCCTTGACATTGCTCTTTGTGAGGTTCGGATGATTACAAGCCTGTCGCAGGCGAAGGAGCAACACCAACGCTCCAATGTAATCCTGTTTCTCACCACCCATCATCTCGTCAAGACGAGCTTGTGTGCGGTCTCGTAACCGGTCGTAGAAGATGCGCTCTTTGGTTGTGAACTCGCCTATGATGGTCTCGACGTTTCGCGCAACAATGTGGAAAGCCGGCCGCTCCTCACCTTCCTTAGCTTTGCCACCGAAGTTCAGTGCACCGTCTTTGCGCAGGACGTCCTTCGTGCGACGCTTCATAAAAGCACGCAGAAATACCTGCAGTCGCTTCATAGCAAGGTTGCCTCGACCGTTCTTCATTGGTTGCGCTATAGAGTCCTTCCAAGCCGAAAGCTCACAGTACGGTTGTATACGAAGGAACTTGATCAGACTCTGTAGCTCGTCGATGTTGTTCTGCATTGGTGTACCAGTAAGGCACCATCGGTAATGCGAGCGCAGCTCGTAACAAGCCTTGGCCATCTTCGTGGTGCGGTTCTTGATGGTATGGGCCTCGTCCAGCATGATGCGATACCATGACACGGCGAAACAGCCCTTCTTCAGACCATCGGGGCCGTCACCACATTTCGCAAAGTCGGTCGCCAAGCTGTTGAAGGTGGTGATAACGACGTCGTATTGCTTCAGCTTCTCGGCTGACTCTGTGCGGTTGGGACCGTGGTGTACGAGGACTTTGAGAGCGTGCGACTTGGTGACTTTGTCCTTGATCTCAGCTTCCCATTGCTTGATCAGTGCTAGTGGAGCAATGACGAGAGTGCCCTTGCCGGTGGAATCGGATATCTTGTTCTTCTTGTTCTCTGGCTCCACGCCCTTTTCCGGTCGAGGGTTTGAGAGAATGAGCGCAAGAGACTGTACAGTCTTTCCGAGACCCATGTCATCTGCTAATATACCGCCCTTTGGCAACTTGGCCTTCTTGTTGTGATTGCCAGTCTCCTTCTCGATCATCCAAGCCACACCGTCGACCTGATGAGGCAAGAGCTTCACTTTGAGACCTTCCACTGTGCCGTCATCTTCTTCTTCTTCCTCTTCAGGTTCAGCCTCGGCTTTAGTTTCCTCGTCCTTAACGGCAAGCGCTTGTAACCGGTCAGCTAGAGAGTTGCCAACGTCTTCCTCTTGTTGCTTCTTCTTCTTACGAAGACGCGTCCTGGGAATCTTCTCGTTTTCTTCATCAAAAGCGCCCTCAAGTAGCGCCTTGATGTTCTCGCTAGTCGCAGCAGGGTCGACGTAGGCGTATGGATCTGGCTCGCCAAATCGACTACCCTCTCTTCGGATGGCCTCATCTGGGTCGAAATTGTCTTCATCGTCCAATATAACCGTCTGGCGCGCTTGTTGTAGCGGGTTGTGTGTTCCTTTGTTCAACGGCGCGAAGTTATCGGCGTGGCCCATAGAGGAATAGATCGGTCGAGGAGGTGGAAGACTAGTCTTGGCTGCGGGGTTGTATGGTCGGGCGATAGGTACAGGACCGCCTTGGGACGGTCTGGGTTGGAACTGGGAGGCGGGAATTTCGAAGATGTCTGAACCAGTCGACGAGGTAGACGCCGTGCTGTAACGCGAACTTGACGACATAGACGGGACCTTGAAGGGTCGCTGTAGAGGATCGGTACTTCCGCTAGCAGCTGAATTCTGCAACGGTCTAGAAGCTCCAGAGTATTGCGACGGCAGTTTGGTCGTCTGGCTATGCTCCGGCCGCATCTGTCCTGGCTTGGGCTTGTTGAAGAGGTGAGCAAACTCTTTGCTGCGGTCCTTCTTCAGAGGGTTCCTCAACGGGCTAGTCTCTCCAAACTGTGGTGCTGTATTTCTGAGGTCTTGTAGAGGCTTTGGTGGGGGCGCCGTTCCATCTCGTGGTGGGGGAGCCACGGGAGGCTCTCTCTCACGCACCATCTTGAGTCTGTGTTGGAGGTCGGCCTTCTGTTTCGTGTGGCTCGCAGGGCTCTCAATATCGTCGAAGAGGTTGCTCGAATCGCCGAGTAGGGAAGTCGACTGTTCGTGAGGGTAGTCGCTATCTTCGGATGTGTACGTGGGCTTGGTGGCCGCTGGTGTCTTGAAGGCAGGCTTCTGAGCGGAGGAGAAGGTATCGATCGGTCGAAAAGGCGCACGGTATTTCCTCTGAGTGCTTTGGCTCATCGACTCATCCAGACTGGTCGCTTTGTTGGTGTTCCTGCAGACTGACTGTTGTCGCGACGAGTGTGCCCCTCGTGTTGTTTGCCAAATTAGGCGCTCCACTCGACGCACGTTGCCACGACGAAGGGTAAAAGTGGGGTCCTCAACACGTGGGACACGCGTAAACAACGACGCGCTATCACAGGATCTACACTATCAGCTTCAGGGTCTACTCACACCACGGGTGCCTAGTAGACACGTCATCAGCCCTTTCTTGGATACGATGGCATGAAAGCAGGGTGGCCGTCTTAGATTGGCTTCGCCGAAGACAATGTAAGACGGCGGCCTCAGGCCAAATTGGCAGTCTTCTAAAGCTGGCATCACAGTGGATCAATCGCCGGTTCGCCTATGCCTATCAGAAAGACGTTCAGATAATCCTGTCTTTACCCCAATCGGAAACGCACTCAACAGCTAAAGCTACAACTATAGTGCACTGGAGGCTTGCTATACCTGAATGTTCGCCCATTACATCTTCACCCAAACATCTTCCCGTTTCTGCCGCCTCTTCGCTTCACGTGCAGCAAATATGATGAGCCCTCCAGCCACTAGTACACTGCCCGAAAATGCCTGTGCTCCAGCATATGATCCCCCACTCGATGTAATGATAGCGCCACATACTGGAGAACCCAGTAACGCGCCAATTCCAATAGCCGCGAACACAATGCCAAACGAGGCTCCCATCTTAGACGTATCCGAGATAATGATGGGGACGATCGCTAGGGAGAGCGACTGGACTCCTCCGACAGAGAGACTGTAGAATGTTGTCCACGCGTATAGCCCGGGAGTCGAGTGTACCGGTATCCAGGTATACATGCATAGCGCAGAGCAGAAGATGAATGTTATGTAGACATTCATAGTACCGCAGTACCGGGCAATCAGGCTGGGTAGCAGCCGACCTGCAAATCCGATGCCATTCAGAACCAAGGTAAGGTTGAGAGAGTCGGTGTATGACATTCCCCGCTTCTCTCGCGCATACGAACTGAGGAAGAAGAATGGGAAGAAGACGCCCAAATAGGCCTGCAGTTCTGTCAGTGGTGTGAGTGGGAAGGCATAATGTCGACAACCTACCAAAAAGGATCCTACGAGGAGTAAGTTGAATGCAGTCTCCCTAAAGACCGACACATCCAACAGCGGACCCGACTTCCGCGCTGCTCTCTTCGGCTTCCCACACACCAGCGCAACCGCAAAAGTACCCAACTGTATAAACCCGATCGCTCTCAATGTCCATCCAAAGCCAATACTCGGCAACAGCGTTCTCACCATACTAGGGTAAATGAGTCCCCCAGTCACACTTCCACACGCCGCAATGCCCGTAACAAGCGGCAGCCTTCTCTTGAAATATGTCGTGACAAGCGTCGACATGGGCGTAAGCAGACACCCATTCCCAAGACCCGTGCAGACGCCCTGTGCGAGGAGAACTTGCCAGTAAGTCTCGCTGAGAGAAGTCATGAAAGTGCCTAGTACAACCAGAAACGCACCAGTGGCTGTGACATAACGGTAGTAGCCTGCGTCTGTGAGACGCCCGCTGACGATACCGGTGAAGAAGAGAAGGAAGACGGCTATGGAGCCTACCCAGGCGATGTCAGACCGTGTTCTGTGGAGTGTGGAGACGTAGTAGGTTTGGAAGACACCGTAGGATATTATCATGCCCCTATCTTGGTCGTTAGTAGAGTTTGGGTGGTTGGATTTGGGGAGCTTGTTACGCACCATGTGTTCATGATGGCGAGGAAGAAAGCCACGACTGTCAGAAGTGATATATCAGCATCTCAGCGAACCGACTCTTGACGACCTTGCAATTTACCTGCCAGCCAGGCTACTAGGCCTCCTTCGGGTGTTGCTTGAGCAACTTCTCCCTCATAGGGTTGGTCCTTGACACTCAAGCTTGAAGTTGCTAAAGTCGCTGACCCTGAGTCCTCATGTACTGCTTGGTCATGATCCGGTGTTGTCGAGGATACCTTGCTCTCATGGTCTTCCACAGTTTTGCTTCCAAACATGATGTGCTTATCTCTGACTAAGTTCGCCAGAGAAGGAGTGTTGATCTGATGAAAGTTCTGCTAGGAGATGCTTCTCATCCGTGCCAGGGGTTGGAACTATATATGATGAATGGCTCACACCATTGATGAGAGGAGAGATTTCCTCACTTGTGCGAGAAATTCGTACGAATTGATAATCAGGTACTAAAGCCACGCTTTGCTCGATGACATGCAGTTTCTTAGGTGTAGATGGATTTCGCGCTATGCTCAACGTGGTACCATATGCCGACCCACAAGTCTTTTCACGTACACAAAAGCTCACAGTCTCTTTCTCGCTGGCACATCTCGTAGAACAGTGTTCACAGACTGATGGGTAGACTTTTCCACTCCCTTGGAGGTTTTATTCGCTTCAATACAATTTCATTTCCTTGTATCTAAAACAAATATCCGATCGAATATATGTATGAAGCTCAGCCAGAAACTTCACAGTCGCAAGTAGTGGTCAACTGTCAGCCGATGTAAACTGGTAATCGGCTACCGTAGTACTGAGAGGGAAGGGGGTGCGAATTCTCACATGGTATGTGAGCACGCATCCACAGAAAAGCCCGGAAGACTAACGTGATCCAAGCTTCCTCCACAAGGTCAGCATCAATGTTCCTTCCCTGCGTCATGAACCGAACATAGTCCGGCATGTAAAACCAATAGTACATCATTGCTTCACCCCTCCAGTATCTGTCTCCACCGGTAGGTATATTATGACCACGACCATCCGCAATCGCCGATAAGGCGTCTGGGTAGGATCGGGGTGCTTCTCGGAGATGGGCCGTAACAAGATCCATGTAGTGCGCCCGTTTCCATTTTTGATTATGCGCATAATTCGTTCTTGGTTGAATTCCTTGGAAGTATTCGGTAGTATCTTTGTAAAGAGACTCCAGGTCATCGTAGTAATGCACAGAACGGTCCATCAAACTCGGACTAATACCGTCCCACTCGACTCCGTATTTTTCCTTGAGATCCTCATAGTTCTTTGCAATCTTGCGAGTCTGAATAGTGCCTTTACGCCTGTTGTATTCGACCAGCTGATCGTAGAAGACCCTGTACGCTGGACAATACCAGGTCAATCCTAAGGTATTCTGGGGTCCTAGGGGTTGAGGGTAGCAGTTGACTCGTGAGGCTGGCTGACGCAGCCAAGGTGCGACCATTGGCACAATATCGCAGAAACCATGAAGGTAGCCAGGATGCCGGCTTTGCGTTTGTCCAAGATGCTGCAATGCGACTCCATCAGGGTCAAGTCGTTGGAGAGTAGCAAAAGCATCGTCGTTGGTGCCCACAGTGAAGGTGGGAAGAGACAACTCTTGATTTCCTGGAAGTATGCCAAACCACATACTATCAGCTTCTGGAGTACATATCCATCGGTCAATCTCGATGGGAATCGGAGCAGGATTCAGCTTCTCGTATCCTCTTTTACCATCCTCTGCATCGGAATAAGGATTATTTCTACGCTTCGACGCCCACCTTTTATACAGGGATTGTTTTCTATCATCTCGAGAGACCGCGTTATTTCCATGAAAGGCCCTAGTGTAGCCTAGTAAAGTTCCAAGTCCACGAACGTTCATTGCTGAAAATATATGCTCCCTACCTTGCCCTTCCATGATACCTTCTGGAGGCCGAAACTCTTTCCATACAACTCCCATGCGGCAAGTAAGAATCGCGATATCAGATGACGAGGTGACTGCAAAAGGACGTGCAACATCAGGTGGCATAAAGTCCCATGATCGTTGCCTCTTGCGAACCGCGGGCCAACTTGATTGTGGAAGAGGTCGCTCGGGACGCAGAGCAGCGCTGGTCTCGTGCAACGCAATCAGAAGAGGTATCCAACAAGCCAGCTCGCCGTTCGGGTCATTTGTCGTATCATCCTCTTTTGGGACAAATGTTTCGGCACGAGACTTATCTTCCCCAGTTATTGCGATTATCTCCGAGTCTTTAAGAGGGTAAGGTGCAAGGACAATCTCTGGTGTAATGAAACGCGTTTCGAACCGAAATTGAGTCCAACGCCAATGTCTGTGGGTATTCTTGCTCCATTTCCCCATAACAGATGCTTGACACTTTCGATGACCTTCAACGGTACCAAAAACTTGCGCGAGGAGCTGAGCCAACGCAATGACTAGCGCAACGAGGGAGATAATGAGTGCAACAAGTGCATTACTATCAAGCGCCATGATCAGTCAATAGTTTGAACGACGTTACTATGTAGTTGTAGAGGGATGTGTGATGTGTGTGTTCCACTAGAGGAGAGAACTGGTTTATTCTCATAATTTACTAGTGGTCAGGCCACTACGAAAATGAAGAGTATATAAGGTTTCTCGAATCTCAGCTTTTGGCAGTCGAACCACTTTTCCCCGCCCGCTTCAGCCGCACATATGACTACCGCTCATCAGCCGCAGTACAGCCACTGGCTTTATGCAACATGCATTGCTGGTCATCCTGTGTAAAATTGCCGCCCCAGTTTTTGAAGGTTCAAAAAGTGCGTTCGCGCAAATAATCGCTCTACTCTTACACTGTATGGTGCTTTATTAGTTAGGAAAATATATACATTCTCAGGCTTCATCATTAAATGAGCCTCCTTTTCAAACACACGCATCAGACATACTGCTAGACATGTTCATGGAAAAGATTGGTCATTGTGTCTGAAGGAAGCTGCAAAACTTGAGCAGCCTCTACAAATATTGCTATTAGGCACCCCAGATTTCAATATGCAACCCAAAATCTGATTTTACATGAGTAGTATTCTTATATGTCCCCAACTCAATTGATCTCCACAGCCTTACCAGAGTTCAGCCAACGAACCTTCTCCAGGACGCCTTCCTCTTTGAATCCCTGCGCGAGCTCATTTCCACCTTGTTTGAAATGATCCCACGACTCGTAGTGCATAGGAACAAGCACATCTGCCTTAAGGTCCTTCAGGAGACGAGCAGCCTGTCGGCCATCCATGGTGATTTGTAAACTATCGCCTGGCTGAACCGGCTTTCCCTCATCGGTAAACTCGTAAAAGGTTGCTTTACCGCAATTCATGAGGGCGGCAGTAATGTGGTACTTGTATGCGATCTTCGACAGCTCCTCAATGTATACTGTGTCGCCAGAGAAGTAGATGGCGTTCGGGCGACCATCAGCTGCCGCTCCAAAGTCCTCAGTGTGTACAACGAATCCGACACATTCGTGTCCAGGCCAGTGCTTGCAGGGCGTGGCAGTGATGTGGAACACTTTTCCTGCGTTGCGAACATCTCTCCCTTGCTAGTCGCTGAAACCAAGAACACTGGGTCGGGGGGCGAAGTTCTTTGCGCCATCGTTGGTTGTTACTACGTGACGGCCGTCGAGAGGTCGTTGTCCGAACTCATCTAGATTATCGGGGTGGTTCTCGTGACTCAGGAGAACGGCGTCGATGTGCGGTAGTTCATCCAGCTTCGAGCGGGGTCATCGTGAACTTTGAGGGCTGCGACGTCGTTCTACTCGGTACCAGCAGGGAAGAAGAGAGGGTCGGTAAGGAAGATGATGCCATCAATATCGAGGATGGCAGTAGCCGTTGCCATGTGTGTGATGCTGACTTTGTTCTTGAACGTGAAGGCTGACATGGTTCAGTGTCGATATCTTGATGCTGTTTGGAGAGGAAATTGCTGATGATAGATAATGTGTGGAAGACGGAGTACCTAGGTATCTAGCTGGCGTCTTTCAATGCACTGCAGTGCAGCCACTAGCTTTATGCCAAACTTCATCAGTGATGAAGTCCATAGTGAATTCTAGTTTTGAGCAAGTCGAACGCTGATGAATATTGTACTCTCTTGCTTTATAATCAACAAAAAATTCTCGCGCGATTATGATGAGTCTTGGTAAAGTGAATAGGAAACGAGATCGATGTCTGGGTGTTGTGACGCTATAGCTGCAGGCGCTAACATCAATCCAGTGTAACGTCGGAACGGCTCTAACATCTGCATAGCTAAGCCGGCGCTAGGCTCAAAAAGGCAGCATTACTTCCTGCAATGCGCCTGCGTTACTGAGCTCACTGCCTTACATCCCAATGTTCAAGCGACACCTTCTCAGTTAATCTCATCTTAAACCAGCTCTTTTGGTGGTGCCCCACCCTACACTATTCGCTTCAGGAGTAAAAACCCGAACCCGATCTCTACTTTCCGATTGCGGTAGTATATCGCGGTCGCTTATTTGCTCACCTGCGCGTACCTCTGCCATGAAGGTCAGAAAAAAGAATCTCTGTGACACTTGCCGCAAACGCAAACTCCAGGTCTGTTCATATCTCTCTTTGTTTTCGGAGCAAGTAGGCTAATTCTATTGGCCCTGGAACAGTGCGACGGAAAACGCCCATCATGTACTCAATGTGTTTTCAGTAATCGAACATGCGAAGGATACCCGGACGCCCTATTTGTACCCTTCGTTGCCACCAAAGCGGCAGTAAAGCCAAGAACTGCGCGTCCAAAATCGGTATCGCGGACAGCACAGTCGGTCTCGACATATGCGCGATGTCCCTCCGCTGCTAAATCGGGTTCGGCTCAGGATAAAGATTCACCTATACCTTCCCGAAACGACACCAATTTATCCGGTGGTTCGCCTTCTCTAAATCGATCTTATACTCAGGGTCTTGCTACGATACAAGATAAAGTCGCGTTAATCTTGCGCAACTTCATACCCTTACACGAGTTGGAGTTCAACTCGGCAGACGCGACTGAGCAATGCTCGCGGTTCTGCGGCTCCTGGGCGAAAGCCCTACCCGAGCTGACCGCTGATATGACTGGTCCTTTTGCTCAATGTTTAGATTCAGCTGTCAGTGCTTTAGCACTATCCATAACCGCTTATCGAAATCGCCAGAATCTCCTAGATGCTATAGTCGCGCAATACGAGGAGAGTCTTCACCTACTAGGGCAGAGTCTTGCGGCTGCAGGAAACACTTGCAACAGTAAAATTTTAGCAGCAGTTATGTGCTTGGCGCTCACAGAGGTATTGTCACCCACTCAGGAGTCCAGTTGGCTAGTACATGTTGAAGGTGTCAGCAACATGGTACATCTTATGCCGCCCGGATCCTTCGCGTCTGGTATCGAGCACATTATGCTTATGGGCTTCAGGCCACTTTTGGTGAGTATGCAGCTATGTTGACAGATTTTCCGGTCTAATTGTTCTATGTGCCAGATACTAAGAGCCTTCATACATCGCAAGCCCACCTTTTTTGCGGAGGAATCATGGCTCACACTACCCTTCCAATACCATCAACCTGCTCCATTGCAGAGTTTACTAGGTGCCGCTGCACACATCCCTGGTGTTCTGGAAAAAGTCGATGTTGTTCTACCTCGTTCCTGCGATCGCGCGGCAGCGACTGCTGATCAACTCATCACAGAGCTATTGGCGAGCATATTACGACTCAAGACGTGGCATAACTCGTTCTTGACAAGTACTCCGGAGATACTATACTGTTCTCGAAACGTAGAACACAATTTTGGTGGTACTTTCGAATCGCTATGGTACCCAAGTCTCGGTATCGCCAACATGTTTGTCTACTTTTGGGCTTTCCAGCTTCTTTGTCTTAATGAGATTCGAGATTTGTTGGACCGGTTCCCACATTTGAAGCATACGGTGCATGATGGCGCAGCATACAGCGCAGATGCTTTCCGAGAAGAGTGCCTTGAGCTTAGCACCTGCATATACAAGAGTATGGAATATTTGTTACGGGCAGATTTTATGTTGTATGGAATCTCCTCAGCAGGGTTCCCGTTGAGCATAGCATACAAGACGCTCCAGTCGGACGCCGAAGGTCAAGCAATTCTGGAATCACTCGACCACTCGATCATCACTCGGTGCAGAATCAGGGGTGTGGGAGATTGTGCATACGGCCTTTGCGTATGACGCATTGAGACCCTCGGTTGCACGGATAGCCAGCGCCATGCCAAGGAAAGACAAAATATGTGCGGATTCAATCTGCCATGGCAAGAAGAAGAAAACATAATACGACTTTGATCTTGCCGCAGATTTCATTCACTGGAAGCAGAATTAAGGTTACATTACAAGCATCTACCATCATGGCAATCGTCGTCTACGTCTCACGACGAGCACCGGATTAGTTGTTACACTGCGCACCGTCCGTCATGTTAATCTCAGTATATACCAGATGATCTTGGTTGATGAAGCCAACAGCAGTACCCTTGTTGCAATCAGGAGCTTCTTGACCGTAACAGCGGAACGTGGTTGCGGCACTCTGTGTTCCAAGGATTGGTTTAGTGTCCAGCTCATAGATCTCGGTGCGGGTGTGCACGAAGCCCATAGGGGTGAGCGGTAAACCAGGTACACCGTCAATGTGGTGCGTGATGCGAATGAGGCTGCCGAGTTGAGAGTCGCTCGCACCAGACAGCTTATCAGTGAAATCAGCGTATTGTTGGTTACCGACACGGAGAGAGCCCATGGTGTATGCGGCCTTTACGGGAACACCGTTGGACTTGAGGTCTGTGTAAGCGATACTTGCTAGACCGCCTCCCAAGCTGTGTCCGACGATGATGGTTGAGTAACTTGGCTTCTCGGCACGGAGTTCAGCAAGCGCCTTTGTCAGGTCTTCTTGAACGGAGCGCCACCCGTTAAGAACACCGCCGTGGACTTGGCAGCCGGTGCAGCCTGGTGCAGTATCGAAGGGCATGAAGAAGAAGTTGAAGTCCGTTCCGAAATCTTGGACGGAACTTGTGCCAGGGAAAGAGACGATGAACTCTTTGGCGGCATCATCTTGGAATACAGCGACTTGAGTGTCAGATAGAATATTGTTGACTGTCCGAACGAGTTTTGATCCAAAGGGCGGGCTTTTGCATGTTCCAAATCCGTACACGAAGGTTGCGAGTGATGCTACTGCATATCTGGTGTATCGTTGCAGAACTGGGTAGAGCTCGGGTTGGACTGTTGAGGTTAGTGATTGAAGATTGAGAACATGATTAGTGTGTCATACTGAGTTCCCTAGGCCTTGTTTGTCTGTCAACGAGTTGACGAAGGTCAGCCGGAGCTGCTTGAACGATAGGCGCAGCAAGCGCAGCGGCAACAGCGAAGGTGGTGAGCTTCATGACGATGTGATGATCTGCTTCTCAACAACAACTCACCCACGAGAACGCCATCGTGTTATATACACATTCCTCAACACGGAGTCAATCCCACGACTCAGCGCAAGAGTTGAGCCGAGGGACAAAAGCATACTCTAAACACCCACCCTCTACAGCCCACGCATCGCGCGCCATGTAGATCGCCCCTATGCGAAGCTACCAGCTGTCAGGTACAGGGCGTTGCTTGGATGCCAGGTCTCGCGCCATCCAATATCTTTGCTCTAAAAGGGGTCTGATGCAGCCCGGTGGCGCAGAGTGATCGTTGTGACAGGTTGGAAGCGACGGCTTTGAGGATTTAGGACGTGTAGCGCACAGCCGATCGGCCTGTTCGCACTTCTTTTTGCCGCTGCGCCTCCACATTAGTGTATCGAAAACCACAATATAAACTTCTTAGCCTCGGGTTTGCGCTCTTTAGCAAATGTAGGGCGCGCGGGAATGGCCAGCAGCACATGGACGGAGTGGAATATGGGGGATCGCTCCATGCTCTGTAAAGATCGACCCCGCACTTATTCTCATCGCGGTTGACAAGCAGGGTCGACTTGCCGTTTGGTGGCTCTGCACGCTACAACGCTGCTACTACAGTGTCGCGTGGTTGTACATACATAGTCGGAGTACTACCCGCACCTGTCCGGCGATTCGATGAAGGCTCATGGCGTCGCGACGGAGAATTATTCGGTGCAACTAAAGAGTGAAGCTAAAAGATTTAAGGGAACATGCCCGCTCAGAATATCCGGTCAGATGTTGAAGAAGTTGGGTACTTGGATATTCGCAAGGAACAAAGTTTGATTCCGGCGTTACACGGGTCGGAACTACAGGTACGCCGTCATCGGGGATTTCCTGTTGCTAGTACATCCTACCACAAGGCGGTTCTAGAAGATGTATCGATACCTCGGCTCTCCAGACTCGACTACCTTTCCGCGTTGCTTGCCACTACGACGTTGAGAGTGACAAATGCCGCGGGCGCAAGCCTAGGAGCTGTCTCCGCGATTTGAGGACTGCCTCTTGCGATCACCAGACAGGTTTTCATCTTCACCTTGCATGAAGCGTTACATAACAATAAACAACATCAAGAACATATCCCAGCATGGTAATAGGCCCATACTATATCCATATCCCTGTATCGGTGACTTCACGCACGAAGTATCTGTCGAATTCGGTCAGCAACTGATCCAAATAAAGTTTATTATGAGTAAACATCGAACAGAGCCATGAACTTGCACATCAAGCTATGCTTTGGTTGAGCGGGCACTGAATGTTTTAGCAAGTCTCGTAGTCAAAAAGTACACAGTTCAGGTCTTGGGAAACAAGCCAAGCTCTATCCTTTGAGGGACAAACGTAGTAGAAGATGGGACATCTTGAACGGCCGTGCCCTACATTTTTACAAGAACAGTTTGACGGAACTGCAATGTCGTCTATTCAATCCTAATCTGGCCAGTCATTTTCGCGAAACTATATACTACAAATAAGACCAGTACTCCAGAAACAGGAAGATAAAGACAGTACACCAAACGAATAACATCATAAAAAAGTCACGATCTATCTGAATCCAAAAGAACAACAAAGACCCCACAGGGAGTCTGCATTCACAATACAGTCTTATCATCATACTTCCCCCGCTCTTCCCCTAATGTCTCCTAGCTTAATATTGTCATCCATTTCGAACAGACGTCGATTGTCCGCAGCCATTACTCCGATAGGTTTTGTACCCAGTTCCTCCTCGTCAATATTCTCAGGTGTGACAACGCCCGTATCCATTCCGCTAGGACTGGCCTTCGCGCTACCCGCCACTTTCTTTGGCTTGAGCCCATATGCCGTGTTAAGCTCCTGGCGCATCTTATACTCCTTCTCAAACCATGTCAAGCAGAAGCCCAGGCCAGCGAGTATAGCGAAAGCGATCCACACGCACTTGAGACTCTTGGTGAAGGCGTTGACAATCTCAACCTTGATTATTGGGGATGTAGCTTGTGTGGCGATGAAAGAAGCGGTTGCGCGTTGGTAGGCTTGCCCGTTGGCAAGTTTAGCGCGGGCAGACTCAGAGGAGATGGTTGGAAGAAGGGAAGCGAAGCGGACGTTAAAGACGGCACCAGGAATCGCGACACCGAAGAGTGAACCCGTGCCACGAAGGAAAGCCCAGGAGCCTGCACTTGCACCAGTCGTAGATTCAGGAAGCTTGACCTGAACAGCAGGAAGCATAGTGCTGATAACTATGCCGAGACCTGCTGCTGTGACGAGTTGGAGGGTAAGCCAAACGCCGATCGAGGTGTTGGCTTCGAGAAGTGTGCAGAGACCTAAGCCGAGGGTTGTCAGGGAGAATCCGACAATGTGCATGGGTTTGTATCTGCCCCAGAAGCTCAGTAAGGGGCCACCGACTGCTGCTAGAACGACGACGACGAGGGTTGTGGGCATGACTTCTACACCAGATTGTGTAGGCGAGGAACCCTTGACGGCTTGGAAAAAGGGTGGGAGGTAGAATTGGAAGCCGTAGGTTATGAAGCCGTGCATGGTGGTGAGTGCAAAGGCGATGTTGGTGGTGCGGTTCGAAAATATGTGGGGTGGCATGATGGGGTATCTGCAGTAGGAGCAGCGTTCCCAGAAGCCGAATCCTACCAGCCCAAGGACACCAAATACCATTGGAACAACCACAGAGGAGTGAGACCAAGGTCTTGGTGCGCCGCCTGTGCTGAGTGCGACGAGTAGCATGAGGACGGAGCCAGTGAGCATGCCGCTTCCTACGTAGTCGACCTTCTTCAATTCCTCCTTGACGGATACTTCGGCAGTATCAATACCACCACCGACATTCAACCATAGCCAGATTACCACCAAGGAGATGGCGCAAACCGGTATGTTTATGAGAAAACACCATCTCCAGCCGTGCTCTGCGAAAACACCTCCAAGGAGTGGACCGAGAGTGGTGCCAATAGCGAAAGCAACGTGTTTGATAGCCAAGTACGGGCCTCTCTTTCTCAGGGGGACAATGTCACAGAGAATCATCTCGGCGAACAGATCGATGCCGCCCGTTCCCAGGCCTTGAACGATTCGTCCAGCAATCAGTACAGCGCCATTCTGCGCACCACCACAGATTGCAGAACCGACAGCAAAGACGGCCACAGCAGCCATCATAGGCATTTTCCTTCCCCACATATCTCCAAACTGGGAGTACAGGGGTTGGAAAATGGTGCTTGCGAGCAGAAAGGCAGTTGCAACCCAAGAGAATTTGGTGCCGAGATCCAACGCTTCAGAGATGGTTGGAAGCGCGGTATTGGTCACGCTTCCTTCGAGCGCAGAGAGGAGAAGCGGAAGGCATATTGCGACGAAAGAGCGCCAAAAGCCCTCGGATCGGTTCCACTTGGCGGAAGGGGTCTGAGAGGGGAGGGAAGGAGGTAGTGTAGGGCGGCTGAGGCGCCGGGAAAGGCTATTCCTGTCGCAACCATTGTTGAAGGTTTGGTGCACTTTAGAAAGCGGCTCGGATCCCAATTCTTCTTCAATAATGGAAAAGTCGACTTTGCGCTCCGCCGTTGTGGTAGTTATGGTTGTTGTGGAGGATGAAGAAGAAGACATTATTAAAACTTAATTGGAGTTATCGCAATATTCTTGCGATTAACTGGAGAGTGAGGATAGGGAAGAGAGCAGGCAACACCTTTTCTTCACAGCTGCTGCTCAGCAAAAATTCTTCCAGACTTAGGGTGTGGTGCCGCGTCCACGTTGCTTCCAGCCCAACACATAGTTTGCTCTCAAGACCTCGTTGCACTGATCCTGTTTTATAGACACCTTTGACATTACTTAGCTCAACATATCCACTCTATCCATACAACAAACAAAGAATTGTTAAAAGCTTATTACATGACGAGTGTGTCGTCGTGTTTCCGCAGGATGCAGGTACGGTACCGTGGTAGAGAAGATCTTTTGCGTCCAACTCAAATATGGATAGCGAATAGAACCGCACACAATGCAAAGACCCTGACAGATATGGCTGTAGGGACACGTAATTTAGAGCATCTCTTGCTGTTGACGAAAGTTTCCAGCCATTGTTGTGGATCATGCCGGACATGTGTAGCTAGACGGTAGTGGACTCGTTTCTTCTATCATCCTTGGATTGTTTCATTGGATCATCGAAGTTACACTCAGCTCTCGTCTTGCGCGCACTCTGAGTGTTGTCTCGTGCCGTTACGGGGCCAGAGGCAGTGATGACATACTGAAGATCCTCTCGTCGTACTCCAAGACCATGGTCTTTGCTGTTGCCAATATTCTGCTGACGAATCTGACCTACGTATTACCCTGTCAGGTTTGGAAATCAACACCGACCTCATCGCGTGGTAGACAGTGCGCCATATCGAAAATGAAGTGATGCTGGATTGCGACGACGTGCCGTATCATATGCAGGTACTTTCGTTCGCCATACCGCATTGAATATGGTAAAGGCCCTGAACCAGTGTACGAAACCAAGGAAGAAGCGCCAGTCGAACGGGACAGATCGGCGGTACCAGACTTCCAGCAGGGTTTCCACCTAGTCGATCATTCCCACCACCACAGTTCCTGAGCAAGACGCCTACACTGCGCTGCAGAGAGCGATTGCTGCATGTCAGACAATTCAAGCATCAGCCCAATTCTCCCTCACCTCGCGCCCGGATCCACAAGTTCAAATCCCGGTAACTGCATCCTGACCAACCTCGGACAACTCCTCAGCAACAAACTCGCAATCCGCGTACTATCACTCCCATCCCTCACCTCTTCATACCATCTCTCCCAATCTCCCTTGTTTACATAGGCTTCTACGTTCCACCTGATAATTCCCTCCAGCTCCCCTTCCTTCAACCCTTCCTGTCTCACGTGCTTGGGCCACGGATCCAGATTCCCACCATAAGCGTGATGCACAGCGAAGGAACGGACAGCTTCGCGGTGGGGAGCTGAGGTCCAAAATAAGAGGGCCAGGGGACGTAGGTACTTGAAGTCGTCGCCGAGGAGGGTAATATGTGTGTAGAGGTGAGCGGTTGCGAGGCGGTTTATGGAGCGCGAGACGAGGCAGAGGGAGTGCAGAGTGGTCCGGTCTGGGGTAAGATGGAACATCAGATCGAGGAGCTCGTTGGGGAGCGATTCGAGTTTGGAGGTCATAGTTGCGGTCTAACAGATGTTACTGTGCGCGCAGATCACGATGATAATAATAATAATGATAGCGATGAATGCTACGTAGGTGGCAAGAAGCTGATGACAGGAATCGCGCGTGAGCTATGTAATAGTGTATAGGGATGTAAGCAGAGGAAACAAAGGAGAACGCGGAATGAATACGCGCGCGATGTACATATCGATGAGCACTGGTGTGGGGCTATAGATATGTTCCATGTCATGGAGCATACGCCAAGACAAGGGTCCATTCAGGTACGATGCACGGCAGTTGCGATGTCGCGATAATCCTCGGATGTATGAATCGTCCTTACCCCGCCCCCGCCATCACTAAGGCCTACATCGATTACAGCACAAGGCGTACGAAGAGACTAAAGAATCACGAAGAAAGCAGTGTTGTTCATAAAATCTATTTCGTCAAGACCGTAATCTATGTTACAGTTTCCGAGGATTGCTATCTGCTACCACGTCTACTTGAACTCCTTCATGAACTCCTCGTGGAACTTGACGATACGGCCAGTCCAGTCCGTTCCAGGAGCGAGGAAAGTTGTCCTGAAATGCAGTGTGCCTTCCTTCTGTCCGAATCCTGTACCGGCAACGACGCAGACACCAGTAGCGTCCAACATGCGGAAGCAGTAGAACTCATCCGGTGCGCGACCTTCCTTCTTGGCTTGTTGTACAGCCTTCTCTGGGAGGTGGATGGTAGGGAAAAGGTACATGGAGCCCTGTTGATGATATTAGCTGTGTTGTGTGTGGCAGACTGTGAGATACGCACCTGTGGCTCGTTGCACTCAACACCCTCCATCTGCTTGAATGCCTCATACAAGGCATAGGCGCGCTTCTTCAGTCCGTTGAAGATGCCATCGTATTCCTGCTTGTACAGCTCATAGCTTGGCTCACCCTCCTTTGGTGGGTTAACCATCATCTCCACGATACATTGACCCAACACGGGTGGGCACAGCTGGATAGAGATGAACTTGTAGACTTCCTGCGCAACCTCCGGGTCGAAGCCGATAAGCTCAAAGTAACCACCTCGGTGACCGCACTCGCCAACCATGCCTTTGGACACTGAGTGCAGAGAAGCGAGCTCGAGGTGGTCGTACTGGCCTGGGGATTCCTTCTGCAGGTCGCGAAGAGCTTTCTTGAAAGAGATGAACTCGCCGATGAAGACGTTGGTCTGGTAGACCTCGTCTGCGATTACGACGAGACCCTTCTCGGCGGCAAACTTAAGCACGGCCTTGATGTCTTCAGCGGGCAGCGATGCTCCAGTGGGGTTACCCGGGTTGATAACGCAGATGGCCTTGACATCTGTGCCCTCCTTGACAGCCTGCTCGTAAGCAGTCGCAATCGAGTCAAGTGATGTGCCCCATGCTTGGTCTTCATTGAGATAGTATGGTACGCAGCGAGCGTCGAGGACGGAAAGGGTCGCGGTGTAGAGCGGGTACTGTGGGATTGGGACCATGATACCGGTCTCGGGCTTCGCGCAGATGGTGTGAAGGAGAGTGTTGACGCCTGATGAGGCGCCGTTGCTGAGGTAGATATCCTCGAACTTGGCTGGGTAGCCATCGCGTCCTGTTTTCGGTCAGCTGAATTCAGATATGAATACAGTAGGATGCGCACGCTCGATGTACTCTGCAACGCTCTGCCTGATGCCTGGTGCACCCTGACTCTGACTGTATGCGCCAACGCTCTTGACCTCCTTTAGCAACTTCCTCGCGCGCTCAAGCACGTCCGACTTGTATCCAAGGCTCTTGAGCAGAACGTCCTCGTGCTCCAACAGGCCAGGGTTCTCGAGTATACTTGCGACCTGCCTGAAGAATGTGATGGGCTTTTGGTCTAGCTGCTGAGGGTTTCCAATGTTGGCCGCGATAACCGTGTCAAAGGGAAGGTCCTTGCCCTCGCCCTTTGCCAGCTGGGCGCGGTACTCCTCCGACTTGACGGCTAGTTCACCACGGACGGCATACTTGGCTGCCTTGACGTGTGGGTTGATGTTGCCAATCTGCAACACCTTCTGCGGTGCCTTGGACATGATGTTCCGACTCTGTGGAAGATGCGACGGCGGAATGTGAGTTTGGACCGGTAAGCGTCCAGCGAGGAATGGTGATAGGGTTTGAGGGGTGGAGGAGGTGAATGGTCTATAGAGGACTAAAGTGGTGAGCACACGTCCAGACTATAACTTAGCTCAGGCGAAAAGTATATCTCTCAGCGCTACTCAATCCCGCGACGTACTCGAAACACGTAGAAGATGTGCGTCAATGGCTGGTCTATATTTTTTATGCTGCGTCGCGTGGTGCCCCACTACTTGTAGGGCAGAGCCACTACGAGGCTGCCCCTCCATAGCTCGGCGCGTTGCGGATGTGCCATTCTCTTACTCTACTCGTCGGGCATATAAAAGAGCAGCGGGATTCAAGTACCTCTAAAGCCCACGCTGCTACCAATACGGCGATTCGCCATGGTATGAGGGCGAAGTGAACGGGCACACACCCGAGCCGATGACGGCGACATGTTGATGGACCCTGATAGATGCTTATCGGCGGCTGGTTAAGGCGATGACCCCACCCTAGCGGGCGCTCAACCGACTACTTGGGTTGGAGCTTGTTACGAGCGATGTAATGTAAGCGTGGGTGCAGGAGTGGTATTCGAGGACCTGAAAAACCGCGTGGGCTTGTCGCGAGGTTAAAAGGAATATTGCTTTTGCGTTATCTCACCGCAGGTTCATGACACTCTCGTTGAGCCGCAACCCCCGGAGATATCGGAGCTAGCCCTGGTGAGCCGTGTCGCGAATATGGCAATGCGACGCGGGGAAGCTGAAACAGGACAGGCGCGGACAAGTCATGGTATGCTTTTCATTCAGCGGTCTTTGCGCTGTTGTCTAAGTCTACAATGCCCTCAAGATCATTACACATGCACTCGTCATGGCTGAATCTAGCCACGCTCACTGCCCCTCAGCCTAACGGCCTGGCCATACTTCTGTAGCTTGGTGATAAGCTGGTCGCCCTGCTTGACCACGTCGGCATACTGCTTGTTCTTGTCGTCGGGTCGATTTGTCTCGATGATGCCCTTGACGCGGTCGATGGTGCAGGGTATGCGGTCGGCAGCGATGAATCGGGCGAGGTCCCTGTTTGTTATTAGTAAATGATACTAGGTTGTAGGCGCGGGATGCCACTTACTTATCGAGGAAGTCAACTGTGACACCAAAGTCCTTGGCCATGCTCTCGAGGCCGACAACTCGGTATGACTGGAGAAGCTGCTGGTATCCCCGCAGACGCATCTCACGCACGTACCAGCCACGGTGCTCGTACATGTAACGGTCCTGGCTGAGGAAGTTGGTCTCTACTTCACCAAGAGCGCCGAAGAAGGTCTTGTAGTCGCCCTCGTACAGGCTCTTGACAAGCTTCGACAGCGGTGTGAAGTCGACGGGTACTTCCTTCTCCTGTTGCCCGCCGAGGGTGGTGAGATTGACAAGGGTGGGTACTGGTGTCGCTGTTGAGCCTGACGCATCGGCCATCTCTTCGTCACCAGCTGTTGGTCCTGCCGATGTCTGACCAGTGATTGCCGAGAGCTTCTCTTCTGAAGTTCCAACGATAGCCTTGATCTCAGGCGCATCCACGACCTTGGACTTGAAGTCGACACGCTTGAGCGATACGGAGCCGGCGAGGATAGCGTAAACGACGAGGTTTGAGTAGCTGCACAACTCGTAACTGGTGAATGTCGACAAGCTGTCAAGGAGCAATGGGGCGGCCTGTGAGTGTGATCGCACGGTGAGGTAGTGTAGACCAGTGTATGCCTTCAAGCGGTTGCGACGATCCCAGTCACCACCACTCTCTACCAATGCGCTTGCCCGGTCAATCGACTTCTTGGCTAGTATCCTGTCGCCAAAGAAGAGCGCAACGCGTATTATGGCAAGAACGAGGTCGATCTTGGTGCCTAGGATGCCCGTCTTCTCGAAGATGGCCTCGTAGCTGGCAATGGCTTTGTCCTGAATCTTGGTTAGATGTCATTCATGTGACCACATCCACTTCTCTTCATACCTTGTCGCCTATGCGGTTGTAGAGCTCTGCACGCTTGCCCCTCGCTGCTTGTACTTCGGTCTCACCTGCCTTCTCTTCGGCCTCTTCCTCCTCCTTCTGTATCGCTTCCAGCTCCTTCTCGCTCTCTGCTTTGAGGCTCTCGTACAGCTTCTCATCCCACGATAGCGGCACTTCTAATGAGGGATTCCGTGTGGCAAGCATACTCGCTAAGGTTGCAGACGGTCTCCGGTTATTGGTTGGCTGGTCTGAGCTGCCCTCGCCCTGTGCATTCAAGACACCCTCTACCGGGTGAGCCAAGTACCGGTAGAGCGGCGCCATCTTGTTCTCGGTGATGGCATCTTGAACCGACTTGAGGGCGGATTGCTTGGCTTGTTTGGAGGCGGCGGGATTGGTGAGCTGGAAGATGTGCTGCGACAGCTGGAGGTCAGGGTACTTGGCGAATTGCGGGTCACCCATTTTGGACGCTTCTTTGAGATGTGAGGGGGCGTTCGGTGGTGGGTGAAGGTGGGCAGGGCGTGTCGTGTGCGATGTTGATATGATGATGATGGAGGCTCTGTCCGCCGCTCGACTTCCGACGTAAAGCTCGCGCACGGCCCTTGGGCGGTCGACCAGCGCAAACTAGAACCACTGAAGCTACGCAAAGTCGCTCATTCCACCTTCTCATTCTCTTTCCACATCATACGAGGTTTCAAGATTCGATCTTGACACCAAATCGATTTCTGCACGCCCATCACATTACTACAAACACTGCCGACGTGCATCAAACGCGTCTCACTCCGAGGCTGGCCTTCAGACGCGTACTACAATAGTTTCCAGCATGGCGGGCAACGACCAAGGCAGAAAGCGCGCGCGCTCACCCTCGAGATCGCCCTCACGATCACCACCTCGCCAGCGAAAGCGCCCTGGGGCGGGCGCCCGAGTATCAGCCGCGGACCGCGAAGCCGCTCGAAAGCGCGCGCA